TGCAGGCACTATATTGGAGATTCAGATGTTGAGAGAATGGTTCTAACGCTTAAGGAACAATTTAGATGCATATGTATACTCAAGACTCAGTTTAGATGATCTCCATTTCCTAAAGGACCTCTATAATATTAATGTGCCAAAGTCAACACCTTGATCAGGCCTAATGGAGAGAAGAACGCGTATGTTCAACTGACTCCTGAAAGCGTCATAGTCAGGAGTCAGTTAAACACATGCCTTCTTCTCTCCATTAGGCCTGATCAAGGTGTTGACTTTGACATGTTAATGCTATGGAGCTTCTTTACAGCCTGTTTGATCTGGTGTTTGTTGCCCTTTACATCCACAATGAACACAAGTGTTTTGTTATCTTCCATCTTGTTCATGGCTGACTCAGTCAGCATCAAAGGGAACTTGATGATGGCCTAGTGGTTAAACTTGTTTCTCCTAGGGGAGTTCTTCCTAGGGTATTTGGGTTATCTTTGGAGCCTCAGTTTCTTTAACTGCTGGAAGGTGAAGGACAGGCAGATCTTCTTCTTCTTTGTGTGTGTGTGTGTGTGTGTGTGGCTGTAGACACCTTTTTAGCACTGCCTTCTTGGCTTTCAATACCTTTGTGTTGGCTTCAGTTTTGGGAGGGGCACAGGCTTCCTACTTTGCTTTTGGCACCATCTTCATATAGAGGTTTTTAAAAAAAAAAAATTCTTTGATAATGTGTTCTATTTTTTCATTCATTTCAGTGAAATAGTTTTCTGGCTTCATTGGCCATGGTGTTAAGTTCCACCTAATTGATTCAGACTCATAGTAACTGTATATGTAACAGAACGAAGCATTGCCCCGTCCTGCACCATCCTCACAGTCGTTGCTGTGCTTAGCCCATCATTGCAGCCACTGTGTCAGTCCATCTCGTTGAGGGCCTTCCCCTTTTCCACTGACCCTCTGCTTTAATTAGCATGATGTCCTTCTCCAGGGATTGGTTCCTTCTGACAACATGACCAAAGTACAAGAGACAAAGTCTGGTCATTCTTGCTTCTAAGGAGCATTCCAGTTGTATTTCCTCCAAGACAAATATATTTGTTCTTCTAGGAGTCTATATTCAACATTCTTTGCCATCACCATAATTCAAATGCATCAATTCTTGTGTGGTCTTCCTTATTCAGCTTTCACATGTATATGAAGGTATTGAAAATACCATGGCTGGGATCAGGTGCACCTTAGTCTTTGAAGTGACGTCTTCAGTCTTAAATATTTTAAAGGGGTCTCATGCAGCAGATTTGTCCAATGTAATATGTAATTTGATTTCTTGACTGCTTCCATGAGTGCTGATTGTGGATCCAAGTAAATGAAATCCTGGACAACTTCAGTCTTTTTTCCATTTATCATGGCATTTCCTGTGGGTCCAGTTGTGAGGACTTTTTATTACTATTATTATTTGTTATAATATAGTTGTGATAAATTCCTTAAAATCTCTGTTAATTCCAGCATCTGGGTCATTTTGGGGTTGGTTTCTGCTGATTGTCTTTTTTTCCATGATGCAAATGATTTTGGATTGTATCCTGGACATAGTTATAATGTCAACATTGTGATTTTTTTATGTATATATTTCACCAAAGAGTATTGATGATTTTGCTTTAGCAGACAGTTAGTTTGGTCAGAGTGAAAGCTGCCTCTCTTGAGCAAAAGCTCAAATCTCACTTCATTTATTTTTAGCAGAGCTCATTTGAATCTTCCCCACACGTGCATGATTGAAGCATCAGCCAAAGACTAGGGCAGAATTTGCACTGGAATTTAGGGCTCCCCCTCTCTGGCTTTCCCCTTCTCAGGATGCTCTTCTTTCTTCCCAGTGACTGTGGTTGCCCTGAACTCTGTTCAGGATAGAAAGACTGCAGGTTTTCTATCTTTAGTTTTAGCCATTCTGTGTGGCCCTGACTTGGCCTTCTCTCAGGTGGAAATAGATAGAAAACAAAAAATTCACCAAGTACCATCTCTTTTTCCAAGATTCACGATCACCTCTCCACTCTAGTTGGTGAAACTAAAAGCCTTCAAGTCACTGACTTTTCTTTTTTTGTCCAGAGTTTGTAGCTTTTATCTAGAAGAAAACTGGGTCTGGTAGGACCTTAGAGAGCCATGCCAGAAATGGAACTATCTCTTATACAGGACCATGCCTCTCTATGTAAATTTCCACTGCTGAAAAACAAAACCAAAAGTTTGAACACTCACTGTATTTGTCCAACTTCCAGCCCATTTTTAAATCCTCTGTCGTTATTTATAAATGATCTGCATGTCCAGTCTTTGTTGTGAACATTTCCATTGATAGAGGCCTTGCCTGTTTTCCTCTGTGGTTTATCTCCTCCCTCCTCAACTTCCCAAGATTCAAGAAAGGCTCTTTGTCCATGTCTCCTCAGTGGCAGAATTTCACCAGAAAATTTAAAAGAAAAGCTGGTTGAATTCCAGCTACTAAATGTTGCATTTCTTTGACGAACATTTTAAATGGATATTTTTCATAGAAGAGGGTGATAAAAGAAGAAAGTTAACAGCTGAGTCATTCTTTTGACATCTGATTGATACTCAAAAGAACCTGATTGGACTGGCACTTACCTTGGTGTACGTAGCATTCTAGAATTGATCTGAGAAGGCTGTCTGCCTGGTGTTAGTGGCCCAGATATCTGATGCTCTGCTGACCTGCTGATGAAGGAGACAGGATGATGACTTAGGTGGTGGGTGCATTGTGGTTGTATTTGGAGATAGCCAGAGAAATTGTGATTTTGACCTAAATATGGTGAGGGATTTGGGGCATTCTACTATATAAACAAGAGTTCCTGGTACTGATTAATGCACTCAGCTGCTAACTGAAAGGTTGGAGGTTCAAGGCCACTCAGAGGCACCTGGGAAGAAAGATCTGTTGATCTACTTCCAAAAATTCAGCCATTGAATACCCTGTGGAGGACAGTTCTACTCTGATACACACAGGGTCATCATAAGTTGGAGTGAACTTGACTGCAACTGGTACTATGTAAATAAACTAAAGATAATAGAGGAAAATTACTGTCACCCGGATAATAATGACCATGGAATTGGGAGCCCTGGGTCTTGCTCTGAATTTGCCTCTAGTTCCATAACCTTTAAGAAGTTCCCTCAAGGGGATCTATGTAGGAGATCCTGGATAGAGTGGGAGAACAGTGTGGAACAAAACTCAAAATCATTAAAATAAAAAAAAAAAAAAGGGACCAGGTTTTCTGGTCTGATAGAGCCTGATGGAACCCCTGAGACTATGGCCCCTAGCTGCCCTTCAGGTCTGGAACCCACTCCTGTGGCTTCCAGCCAAACAAAAGACAGGCATATGAGCTGAACATTTACATTAGGTAGACACACTCCTTGGAGAGATCAATCATGGAGAATAGAAGGGCTGTGTATGCACAGGGAGACAGCTCAGGGGGCAGGAGTGCATGGAGGGAAGGACCCAGGGAAGAGGTGACTATGGAGAGGAAGTGGGAAGAGAGCTGTTGCATTGTGGGAGATTACAGTCAGTGTCATGAGACAAAGTTTATGTGAACTGATGTATGGAAGATGAATTTGCTCTGTAAACTTTCATCCAAATCACAATAAAATTAGAAAAAAAAAATTGACCCATGTCACTTTACTTCTGTGTATTTCACTGTAGATAAATTATATTTCAATAAAATGTATTTTTTAAAAACTAATAGTAAAAATTTTTAAAAAAGAGGAAATGGAATATGTATAGTTAATTGCCTCCATGAACAAGGGCTTCCTTTGCCATATGACCTGAAGAACTAGATGGTGCTTGGCTACCATTCCTGAATGTTTTGATCAGATTCTATAGAAGAATTCTGATCAAAAGGGAAAAATTGCAGAACATATTTTCAAAATCTCATGCAATCCAGACTTTCTGGAGTCACCAAGACTAGATGTACCCCTGAAACTATTGCCCTAAGATAATCTTTAAACCTTAAGCCAAAAACATCCCCTGAAGTCTTCTTTAAATCAAACAATATCCTAATTAGTGAAGAATCTCCACCTTGAACACTGTGCTCTTTTAAATCCATCTATATGGGATCATATTGACAACAGCAACTTGAAGGTTATATGGGAAACTTAGGGAGCAGTGACTTTATGTTAATAAGGAAAGATGGACTCAGAAAAGGAAGGTGAGAATGAGTGGTTGTACAGATTGAACAATGTAACCAGCATCACTGAATTGTATGTGTAGAAATTGTTTCATCAGAATGTTCTGCTGTATAGATTCTCGACAGTAACAAAAAGTAAAATAAAATGAAAATGATGAAAAAGAGGTCCTCTCAACTTTTTATGTGAGTTTTTCCATTGGAAGGGATGGATGTCAGGGATGATTGCAAACTGAATAGAAAAATGTGCATGTGGAGGCAGAAGGAGAAAAAAGAAGGAGGCCATGTGCTTGCTAAGTAAGCTGGTTGTGATTTTATTACAGATAGTGTATGCACTCATATAAGAAAGAAATCCCTGCTTTTTTTTTTTCCCTCTTAAGTGCTTTCAGCCTTTCCTGATGTCTGCAGATATACCTCTAAAAGTTTATCATTTTTCTCCATCCCTCTGAGTGGCAGAGTTTTAAAAATGTTTATGTGTGGCAAAGCAAAAGGAGCTCTGGTAGCATAGTGCCTAAGGCACTTGACTGCTAACCAGAATGCTGGCGGTTCAAACCCACCAGCCACTCCTTGGAAGGAAGGTTGGGCAATCTACTTCCATAGTGATACTGCCTCGGCAACCCAAGGAGGGGTTGCTATGAGTCGGGGCCGACTGGACAGCATGTAACAACAACAACAACATGGCAAAACAAAAGGTACAATATTTCGAGTTAAGGAATTGTCTAATGAAGTCTGTAATCCATTGGTGCATCCCCTGTTCTTTGCCACCCACTCTCATAGTAAGAAACAAAAAATAAGCAAGAGTTAAATGTATTTTCTCCTCAACCCTTTTGCCTTTTCAGTTTATTCATTTTTAATTTTATTTTTCAGAATCAAATGCAGAGAATGCTACTCTGAGAATCCGGGCATTTCTTTCCAGGAATTATTTTGAAACTTTTGAACAATTCTCACATGAGGAATTGGAGGAGAAAAACGGAAGCAGGTTAACTGAAGACAGATTAATCTCGGTCAATATAAGTTCTCCTCTTCAGAAATCAGGCCCTGTGTCCATCTCAAAAGAAGCCTCAAGTTATCTGACTAGTCCCTGGCTGACTCTCTTTATCCCGGCCATTTACACTGGCGTGGTGATAATAAGCCTTCCGCTGAACCTCATGGCCATCATTGTGTTCGTCGTCAAAATGAAGATTAAGAAGCCAGCCGTGGTCTACATGTTACATCTTGCCACGGCAGATGTGTTGTTTGTGACCATGCTTCCCTTTAAGATCAGCTATTACTTTTCTGGGAGTGACTGGAAATTTGGGTCTGAAATGTGTCGCTTTGTCACTGCAGCATTTTACTGTAACATGTATGCCTCCATCATGCTCATGACAGTCATAAGCATTGACCGCTTCCTGGCTGTGGTGTATCCCATGCAGTCCCTCTCCTGGCGCACTCTGGGGAGGGCTTCCTTTGCTTGTCTGGCCATTTGGGCTGTGGCCATTGGGGGGGTGGTACCTCTTGTCCTCAAGGAGCAAACCACTCAAGTTTTGGGCCTCAACATAACTACATGTCATGATGTACTCAGTCAAACCCTGCATGACAGCTACTATGCGTATTACTTCACAGCCTTCTCTGCTGTCTTCTTTTGTGTGCCATTGATCATTTCCACAGTGTGTTATGTGTCTATCATTCGATGTCTCAGCTCTTCCACAGTTGCCAACCAGAGCAAGAAGACCCGAGCTTTGTTCTTGTCAGTTGCTGTTTTCTGCATCTTCATCATTTGCTTTGGACCCACAAATGTCCTCTTGATTGTACACTACTCACTCTTTTCTTCTAATTCCTCGATGGAGGCTGCCTACTTTGCCTATCTTCTCTGTGTCTGCATCAGCAGCTTAAGCTGTTGCATTGATCCCATGATTTACTATTATGCATCCTCTGACTGCCAGAGGTACCTCTACAGTATCTTATGCTGCAAAGAAAATTCTGATCCCAACAGTTACAACAGCAGTGGTCAGTTAATGGCAAGTAAAATGGATACCTGTTCTACTAACTTAAATAACAGCATGTACAAAAAGCTGTTAACTTAGGCAAAGGGACTGCTATTAGGTTAAAAAGAGAAGGTGAAAGGAAAGCAGATAGTCTGAAGATTCTATCAGTCCCTGTAAAAAGTGTCTATTTCACCATCTAAAACAACAAATGTATTATTTGCATGCCTCTTTCTTACAAGAGCCATTGAACATATGTTTGTTCATTATAGGAAAAGGTAACAGGAATAGAAGACAGTGTTATTCAGAAGGAATATTACCAGTGCTATAATAATAGCTAGATGTTACTTTTTGATATGTTCAGGTGATACATGTGTGTGTGTGTGTGTATAAAAAACAAAAGTCACTGCCGTCAAGTCGGATAAGACTCATAGCAACCCCTCCTTGGGTTTCCAAGGGGGTATCACTACAGAAGTAGATTGCCCAACCTTCCTTCCAAGGAGTGGCTGGTGGGTTTGAACCACCAGCCTTCTGGTTAGCAGTCAAATGCCTTA